TCGTGTCGGCGCTCTGTCTCTCTCGCACCCCGACGGGACGCCCCTCGAGTGCGACAGAGACAGAGCGCGGTGCTCCTGGAGGGCGCTGGCTGCGCGCTGGTTCAAGTTGTTGCGCCCCCGAGGCCGAGGGGCCGTGGGCCGTGGGGCCTTGGGCGAGGCTAGGGCTACCGTTAATTGCAGCCTACGCTGTAAAACGGGCCTCCACGCCGCCATCCGGTTGATGGACAATCACTGCGTTACGGCCGGCCCGGCGCGGCCCGTGTGAGGCCACGCCACGCCCGAAACCTGGCGGATTTATAATTTCCCAAAAAGTGAACGCCTTGCGTCAGCCACAGTGTGGTGTCGTTTTGCCCGGCGTCTGTGAGACGCGCCGCACCACGCCGCGCGTCTGCAGAGGCATGCCCCGCGACTTTGCCACTTTTCCTCTTTTCCCGGCGCCTTCATTTGTCTTGTTATTCCTGGAGGCCGTTGACGTCGGCGTCGGCGGTGGAGGCACGGCAGCCCTCTGCATACTGACAACGTGCTCACCACCGTGCGACAGTGACGTAGTGGAACGCAGTGGACCCGGTGCCTGCGCGGGGCACGCAGCGGCGCGGACGCGCCAGATAGGACAGTGTCTGCTTTTCTTTGCAGTTTTATTTTTTTGGAAAGCAATTATTTTGGAAACAAGGCACCGATCGAACTTCACACTCACACTATGAGACCAGCACATTTTGCATGTAGCATCCCAAGCTTTAAGGCATACTTTAATTTTTAAAAAAGTTTTTTTTTTTTTTTTTTTGCTTTTTGAGGAATGGTTTTTAGACGTTTGCCGACGCGGCTGAGTGGCGCGGCCCCTTCCTGCTTCGCTTGCTCCTCGTCTCGCCCCCTCCGCATGTAAAACGCGTGTATCTGCCCGCCGACTCGTCTCGACTTGACGCCAATCTATTTCGGAGGCGTCGCGCCGTGCTTGCCGAGCGAGTCCGAAGAGTCTCTCCGTCGCTCTGTCTCTCTCGCACCCCCGCGAAACGCCCCGCGAGTGCGACGGAGACGACGCGTCGAAACGACTCCGGCCTCGCCGTGCCCCGAACGGCACCGCCCGCCGGGCGAGCCGCCGGGCGAGCCGCCGGGCACTCGCAGACTCGGGGCTCATGTCGAGTTGCCCCTTTCCAGATGAGAAGGGTTCGATGCAATGCCCAGGCAACGCCAAAAGAGAGGAAAAGGGACGGTTATCCTCTCTCTTTCTGCCGCCCCAGACAAAGGGAGTGCAACGACAACAACAGAGAGACCCACACAAAACACACGCGCTGTTTGTTTTTCTGTCTCTCTCTCTAATTGTACCTTTCCCAACTGCTGATCACGCTGGGGAAGGAAACGGTCGCGTACACTGCAGCCTCTTTTTCGCCCGCTGGCTTTGCGGCGTGCGCGCCCTCTGTGCGTCGTCCGGCAGAATTCCTAAAAGCCGGCCCGGCCGAATTGAATGGAATTGGATTAGCGCGCCAAAAATCGGAGGATGTTGCGCCGTCCGTGCGCCGCCCCAGGGAGAAAGAGAGAGGGAGAGAGCCGCGAGATGCGAGCTGGATGGCTTGATTGATTGCGAGGTAAGCAGGTCGGGCGGCGAGGCGCGGCGAGGCGCGGCGGCGCCGAGGCATGCCGGTGTTATTTCGCCTCTCCGGGGACGAGGCGGTGCTGGGCCGAGCGGCACCGACGGCCTGGCCATGACTGTGACACCGACGCACAGTGGACCAGAACACCGGTGGAGGCGGTCGAAAATCACGGACGCGCTTTGAGCTCCAGAGTCGCTAAATGGAACTCGAAACGAACATGTGACCCCACCAATGGATTGCTCTCCGAACGAGGGATCCATTGGTGGGGTCACACGCTCGGTTCGAGTCCTGTTTAGCGACTCTGGAGCTCAAAACGCGGCTTGAGTTTTGTCCGCCTCCGCCGGTCTTCTGGCCCACTGTGCGACACTGTGAATCTCCCACGTGCCGTGTTGCCGCTGCACCCGGCGTCCGGGCCGGCAGGCCCTTACTCAGGTTTCATTTCCTATCAAGCATCAAAGAAAAAGTAGTCCTGGCGGAACAGTCCCGTGTGTGACCGTTACCGGCGCTAGTCAGAACTTCTTTGTTTTGTTGTTGTTTTTTTGTGGCGGTCTAAGTGGGGAGGTGTGTCTCGGCGGCGGCAGGACACGCCGCGCGATTGGGCAACGGCAGCGGCAGGTTATCGATAGCCATCTCGCTGCCGCTCGCCATCGAGATCTCGAATCGTCGACTCGTCGGCGCGAGGTGATGTCACCGCACCGGAACCAACCGGAACCCGGACCGGCCGGCCGGCCGCAGTCTCGTCTTTATTTATTTACTCCTTTGCCGGCCGGGCGGTCCTGGCCGTCCCGGCGGTCCTTGTCGGATTAGGATTATCACTCGGGCTGCCGGGCGATTAGGCGATTAGGTGCCATTTCTATACGCCATAAATCCGGGGCTAATCGGCGCAGCACCGCGACGTGAATTGGCCGCGCGGAACGGACGCGCCGCGTCTCAACAACCTGTCTCTCTCTGTCGCGTTGTGTTGTGGCACCGCGTGGCACTGTGCGGCCATCCTTCTCCCTCTAATCGGGTCTTTGATTTGGCCGCGTGCACGGCGCGCGGCGGCGCGGGGGAGGCGTGTTGACTCTGGCAAGATTACTGCGGCCGTGATGTGTGTGTGTGTGTGTGTGTGTGTGTGTCGCGTGCTCGTGTGTGTGTTTAACTCTTCATCGCTGCATCCCGAACGCCCTGAGTCCCTCGGGGCACGGCACGCCAGGTTGTAAGTGTGTGTGGGCGTGTGTGTGTGTATGTGTGTGTGCGCGCGCCCGCGCCGGTCAATGTGGGCGTGTGAGTGGAGAGAGAGAGACACACAGAGATTGCATCGGCAGTGATCGGCGCGCTGCAGCGCGGACAAGGCCCCTCCCCCTCCATTCCCCCCACGCAATCAATTGGGGTGCAGGAATAACCTGACAACATTTAATTACCAAGTCGATCCCTCGCCGGTCCTGGCTGCGTGCGCCTGTCGGACCGCCGAACCGTCCTTCCGGCGGTGCAGTACCCTGTTAGCTCAGTCGTTGGCCGTGGCTTCCGTCTCGGAGACCGACAGTGTACGTACGTCTCGTTGGCCACGCGGGTACCGACGTGGCTCCAGGAAGTCGAATATGCGGGTTCGAATACTAGGTCATGAGCATTTTTTTTTCACTCCACAAAAATGATGGCCAACAAACGCTTCTGAAAATGCGGCGTAAAATAAATATCTAAATCGATTGCCGTGAAATTTTTAATAAAATTTTACAGTAAGTTAACTGAAATTTTGGGCGTGCGGCGCGCCACGCTGCGCTGCTGATTCCCAGTCAAATATGAAGCTACGGCGGCACCTCGTCCGAGGGCGGGGAGGCGTAATTGTTCCAGCGCGTCGTGCGTCAAAGTCCCGCGCGGTTCCCGCCGCACCCCGCCCCGCCCCGCCCCGCCCCGCCGCACCCCGCCGCACCCCGCCCCGCCCCGCCCCGCCCCGCGACGCCACCGGCACGCCTGGACGCGCATCGAACAACCAGGGCAGGTGGGGTAATGTGCGGCGTGCACTGGGACGCGGCTTGCAGTGTGCAGCCACCCTGGGGACGGCGCGGCTGCGCGCGCGCTCGGAATGCGTTCGGCAGAGTGCAGCGCAGAGAGAGACAGGGACACAGAGAGAAGAAGAGATGCAGTGGCAGCAACGGCCAGCAACGGCCAGAAGGGGGGGGGGAGTCAAAGTAACCGCCGGTAGCTTCCGGAAACGGCCGGTAGCTGCCGGTAACGGCCTGTAGCCGCCGATGACTGCCCGTACGACTCCTCAACGACCAGGCTCTGCTCTGCGGTCTCTCGGCTGCTCCGTCCAGTGGCTTGGCGCTGCGTGTGCCCGAGTTCGGCGTGATTCGTCGGATAGATTAAAAGGGCGGCTTAATCGGTCGAACGCGGACAAATAGAGTGACAGTGATAGCAAGCGAGAGAGATAGCGGGAGTGCCAATCTGAGTGAAGCAGGTGGCGGCCCGGCGGGGCTGGCCCCGCGTCCACATAGAGTTGGACGTGGAGGGGCGCGGCCTGGTTGGTCCTGGTTGGTCCTAGCGCTAAGATAATTGGCTGAGGGCCCGGGCCGCCCTTGGCCCTTGGAAGTAGTGCCGTGCTGTTGACAAAGCGTGGACTGCTAATCCCCGCCATCGGCCCGGCCAGCCCTAGGCCAGCCCTGCGCTTGTCTCTCTTTCTCCTTGCGCGTAATCCCCATCGGAGGGAGGGAGAGGGGCGACCCGCGTGGCCCTGGCCCAGCCCTTGGCGCGGCCCTTGGGGCCGCCAGCCGCTGGAGACGGTCCCGAGCCCTGCGCCTCGTCCTAAGCAAGTACGCCGGGCGGAAGCAGCGAAAGCGGCGAAAGCGCGTGGAAATTGCTGCGAGTGCAGCTGGGTCCGTGTGGCGTTGTCCGCTGCTGTGTCGTGCGCGGCCTCGGACACGCCACTCGCCGCCAGGTGTGCTTAATCAGAGAAGCCCCCAGCGCAGCCCCCAGCGCCGCCCCCAGCAGCAGGCCGCCACACGGCAATCAGTTTCTGTGTCCGCAAAGACGGATCGGCTCGGTACCGGTTCGGCCCCGCTTCGCGCCGCTCCGGGTCGTTTACAGTGGCGTCGCGGGTGGGAGCGTCCCACCACTGGAAGTCTGGAGGGCAGTCGAGTGGCTGTGGGCATGTTTGAGAGGAGCGGCGCGCAGGCAGGTCGCCTTTCCTGGCCTTTATGGCCCTCATCGGGCCTCGTGGTCCAGAATGGCCGAAATCAGGACTAGTCGTGCGGCTCCACAGCGAGCGAACCCCGAGTCTCGTTGTTTTCGTTTATTATTTTTATTTTGCTTTGTTTTCTTATTTGTTTTGTTTTATGTTTTTGTTTTGTTCTTTTACTTTTTGTTGTGTTTTATTTTATGATTTTTGTTTTATTTTGCTTCTTTTTTTTTGTTTTTTGTTTTCGGTTCTCTTTCCAGAGGAGGAATTTTTGGGCGTGGAGCTGGGCGGCTCGGGGCGCTTGCCGCGGGACCTAGATCGGAAAGCGAATGGGAATGGCTCGGACGTGGGTGGCGACGGTGGCGGCGGGAGCGGCGACGGCCCCACGGACAAGTACTCCGGTAAGTCGACGGCCTGGTGACTAACAGCGATGGCGGGACTAACAACGCGTTCTTTCGGACTCGGCGCTGCTGTCCCCTCTGTGCCTCCGACAGACTTGTTGCGGCACTTGTTGTCGCAACACGAGACTTCCCCGGACTTCCCTCCGCCGGGCTCGGCCGGGCCGAACTCTGGGAACTTTGTCATCGCGCGCCGCTGCGCCACTGAAAGTCGATTCCGTCGGACCGGCAGCCAGCGGCGTCCTGGCAGTGCCGTGGCAGCGCCACCGGACAAAACAGGGGCAAGTTGCCGGCATGGCGATGGGCCCTCCTTTGATGTCTGTGTGATAGGCTCCCCCTCCCCGAAGGACACGCACACACACACACACCTTTTCTCCACCGCCATAGAGAACAACGGCGCAGTGAGTCTCTGCTCCTCCCGCAGCTAGCATTCATACACTATTAACAAACCTGGAACAAACAACAACTTAAATTAGTTGACAAAGCAAAAGATTTTCCTTTGTCAAAATTTATATAATTTCGGTTTCTCAAACAAATATTGGTTTTTAGCTTACTTTTTGGAATCCCCAAACCACCACCCCCTTGTTGTTGTTGTTGTTATTGTTGTTGTTGTTTTTTGTTGTTTTTTTTTGCTGCGTGGAGACATGCACGGCTCCGCGAAATAAGCGGTAACAAAGCGAGCGTGGCTGCGCGGCGCTTCCTCTGATCTCCGAGATTGAAATGGACACCACAGTGCCCTGCCCGGCCCTGCCCGGCCCTGCCCATGGGGCTGTGGCGGCAAGGAGAAAGCTCGTGGAAGGCGCCGCGACAATCCAATCGGCATGACACTCCCGAATTCAACTCGCCGCGGAAAGGCAAACAAAAGCTCTCTTTCTCTGCCTCTCTCTCTCTGGCCCGAGTGTTGTTCTTCCCGGGGGTAAATGTTGACCCGGGTCACAGCAGGCCTCCGCTCCCCCGACCCACCGCGCCGCGCCGGGGACGCCGATAGGCCCACTGCGCGAAATCACGCACCGCGGCCGGTTGCAGAACGAGAAGTGGATGTACTGCAACCGTGGCCTAGGTCGTTAAGTCGTTGACGCACAACCTCAAAAACCGGCGTTCGACTCCTCGCCCTAATCTTTTTTTCGCTCTCCTGGTTTGGTTTAAACTTTGCCACCGATGTGCGCCCATAGTACTCCTGGGCAGAAAAGGACGCGCGACGGGAGGAAACGGTGGGAGAGAGGGGGAAGGGGGGAGAGCGGAGCAGTGATTCGAGTCCCTTGAAGGGTGGTGTCGCGGTGTCGTGTGCCTTTGAGGCACCGCCAGTGGCGCCGCCTTCACCGCACTCAGGCCTCCTGACTATTCGCCCCTCACCAAGCCGCGACCCCTTGTTCCTGTCTTTCTCTTAAAATTTCGCAACCGTTTTTTGCGCCGCGCCCGCCCTTTTGTGCGTGAGAGAGCACTGTGCGCGTTTGCGCGCGCTCGTGTGTGTGTGTGTGTGTGTGTGTCCCTTGTCGGTGACTTTTTCGCGTGCCTCCATTTCGTCGCCGCGCTCCACCTCGCTAAGACGCGCCGCCCGTTCTTCACCCAACCTTTTGCATTTTTCCCTCTTTGCCCCCCCACCCTCCATTTTTTTTTCGGCCCGCCTTGCCTCTTTCTTCCGAGTCATCAACCCCGTCCGCCTGCCTTGCCTGCCTGCCTGCCTTGCCGTGGACCAATCATGGCGGCCAACGCACGTGTGTCGTTTGTACGTCGTTTGCGCGGACGGGACGTCTCTCTGGATTTCGGCCCCGAAGAAAGAAAGGGAGAAGGAATGCGGGCCGCCGGGCAGCCCGAGCAGCCGGCCAGATCGTAGTGTAGCGGAGCGTATTGGCTGGCCGCCCGGCAGGCAGCCTGGCAGCCTGGCAGTCCACTGGGCAAATTAGTCCCGGGCCGGTCGCTCGCCACCCTCCTTGGCCTCCAGATGCACGGAACGGCGCCTCTGGGCGCCTCTGGGCGCCGCGACACTGGTGACGGACAGCGGCAGGGCGTGGACCGCCTGGACGGATGGCTTCCCCGGCACGCCACGCTCGTGGTCACGCTCGTGGTACTCATGGTCACGCTCGCGCCCCGTTTCAGACGGCCGCCCCACGCTCTTGGCCAGTCCGCGCACGTCGCGCTGTTTGCCGCTGCAACCTAATTACCAGCCCAGCCGGTCGGCGCGGCCGCCGTGGCGGTCCAGCAGGCTCATTCGGAGGGCCGCTCTGTCTCTCTCGCACTCTAGGGGCGTCCCGTTCAGGCGCGAGAGAGACAGAGCGACGAAAACGACGCGGCGTGCTGCGCGGCGTAGCGCCTGCGGAGCGGAGGGTAGGCAGCCCGGCGCGCAGCCCCGCCGTCGGGCGGCATGGCGTCACGGCGCTCGCCGCGCCTCGGTGGCAACGCGCACCGCCTTCGTCCTGTCCTGCCCCATTAGTCACGGCCAAGGCCGCCGAGTGCCTCACTGTCGTCGCGTCGCCGAAGAAGAGCGGCCGGGCCGTTGCAATAAATTCGCAGGCAATTAGGCGATCCGAACTTTGTCTTCGGGACGCTGGTCGCGTTCTGAGGACCGCCAGGTAGTCATCGTCCATCCGGCGACCTCGACGGCGCCGCGGCCAGGCGAAGGCCAGGCAAAGGCCACTCGGAGTGGCGCGCAGACTTGAATTCATTCAACTTGCTTCGCAGGTCCGCGCGGCGCGTTTAAATTTTTCATGGCGGCGCTGGCGGTGCGGTCCGGGGCGCCAAGTGCACCGGCGCCACTCCCTGCCGGCCGCCCTCGGGCCGCCCTCTTGGCCGCCGGGGCACGTAGCTCGCCAACGACTCCCCGGGAACAACTTTTCATCAGGCTTCATCACGCGCACTGACTGACTGCGAGAGCAGCGGGGCTGCCTTGTGCTTTGGCTCGGCGCTGCCCCGCGTCGCGCAGGCAGGCACTACCCCGCGCGCGAGGGGCCTCGCCGGCGCGCCGCGTGGCCGTGGGGGTGGCGGAACGAGCATGTGCCCTGCGGTTGTCGCCGCGATACCCCGCGCGTGTGGAGACTGCGGCGTTTGCAGCGGGCAGTGGTGGCACACTAGAAGGCGAAAATTCCCTCGACTCGCCCCTTGTGTTCAAAAGGGTGCCTTCCTCGGCCGGGCTATATCTGGGCTTCACTTTCGAGAAGTTGCCTCGTAGGTGGGCTGAGGTTGGCAACCCTCTCTGGTGTGGTGGCAACCCTGGCTGCGGAAATCACGGAAACGCGACATGCCGCCCTAAACTAACACCCACTTCGGCTGCTTGCAGACTGGGGCAACGACATCCTGTCCGCCATCGAGATCCCCTTCGTGGACACCAAGACGCAGTACTTCGACTACGCGCCCGACGGCTTCCCGGCCTTCGGGCTGCTGCCGGGCTCGGACGTCAAGAAGCCCTTCCGGGTGCACATGCCGGAGCGGCTCTACCCGGAGTTCTCCATCACGGCCAAGATCCGGCACACGAGCCGCGAGGGTGGCTTCCTCTTCGCCGTGGTCAACCCCCTGGACACCGTGGTGCAGCTCGGCGTGCAGCTGGCGCCCGCCAGCGCGGAGGTGCGGCGCGCACAGTATTCTCGTCGCTCTGCCCCTCCCGTACCTGCACGACGCGAGTGCGAGAGAGACAGAGCGACGAAAACGACGCTCGGAATCAGTCGGCACGGTGATTGTCTGCAATGTTTTCCGGCCGCAGGCGCCCAACCACACCAACGTGACGCTGCTGTACACGGACGTGTCCATTCACCACTCGTCGCAGACCATCGCCTCCTTCGTGGTGCCCTCCTTCGTGGGGCGCTGGGGCCGCCTCGCGCTCGCCGTCACCGAGTCCTCCGTCACGCTGTACTACAACTGCGAGGCCGTGGACACCGTCAACGTGGAGCGCGTCCCCAGGGAGCTGGTGTTCGACTCGGCCTCCACACTGTACGTCGGCCAGGCCGGCCCCATCATCAAGGGCTTCTACAACGTGAGTACCGCGCCGCTATTCTCGAACGCCACTTGTCGTGTAATGAATCCGTGGCGTGTGTGTGTGCGTGTGTGTGCCGATTCGACTTTACGACCGTCGTCCCCTCCGACTGTCCGACCCTGACCAGAGGCGACACTTGATCGGACTGACCCTTGACCCGCGGGCCGCAAGGTCCACGACGTCCACGACGTCCGCGACGCACATTAGGTGCCTGAGGTGTCGTTAAGACCACGGCGGCCCACGGTGCCGCTGCCCTGCGGCCACCACCGGACTCTTTCGCAGAGAATAACGAGCTAGTGTAATTAAGGCTCGGCCTGGACTGTCACAGGCCGCAGGCCTTACCGCAGGCCGCGCAGGGACGGCGTGTATCTGATTTCAAAGCCCCCCCCCCTCTTCACTCCGCCTCGACCTGGCCGAGTTATTCAGCAACTCGCACCATTTGCATCATTTGCATGGCCTGCGTCCAGCGTCCTGCGTTCGCCCTGACCTACCTATTGTCGAGCCGGGTAGGGTGCGCGCTGCGGCCGCGGTCGCGGCGCCTGCAGGTAGGTGCACCTGTCCCTGTCGGGCCTGCCACGGCTCGCTGCCAGTGAGTGGTATTGGTCGTGTCGGTAGCGCGATTGTTTTCGAATTGGAAGTTCGGAGGTTCAACCCCTGTCAAAAGCAATTTTTTTTAAAAAAGTTTTTGTTGTTTTTGAGATATTTGTGTAGGGTCAGGCAGACAGCGATGACCGCAGAGTTAGGGTGTCGCGGACGCGTCCTGCTCCTCGCCGCGCGCCCCACTGCCTGTCACTCCGACACGCGTGCCGCTATCGCCGGGCCGGCGGGCCGCGCCTACCCGCCCGTCCCGACCTAGATTGGAGCGAGCTGGTTGCGAACGCCGCGCCGTCTGTCTCTCACCGTCGGGGGACGCCCCGTGGGTGCGAGAGAGACGGCGCGACGCAGCGCCTCTTCGGAATCGGTCGGCAGGTAACGCTAATTAATCGCCGGCTGGATGACTGGCCGGTTCGCGGCTTTGCGGTGTAGGGGCTTTGGCCGCGTCGGTTCGGCACGGCGCCGCCAACCTGCCGCCAACGCCGTGCTCGCTCGCCGGGCCCGTCCACCAGGAGGAGGTCGACCACCTCCCGGGGGTGTTTCTCGTAAACACGGCGTCTTACTGGTGACACGACGCAAACGCCGTCGTCAAATTGAGTCCGCAGCTGCCTTATGCTAAACTTGTTGTTGTTTTTCATGGAGCGGGGTGGGGTTTCAACGTTTCAACCCCTCCTCCTCCCCCCTCGCCTCGGCCAGTGGCGGGCCGGCCGGCTCTGGTGGCAAATGGGAGGGGTGTTATTTTCGGTGTAATGTCACGACCGCCAACACTGACGTGCGGCGTGCCCGTAGTGTGTGTGTGAGAAAGAGTGAGAGAGAGAGAGAGAGAGAGAGAGAGAGAAAGAGAGAGAGCCTCAAGCTGAGCAGCAGCAGGGTGCTCAGTGTGAACGCACTCCCATTACCCGTAATAAAGGGTCATTAACTAATTACGCGCTGCAGCCTATCGCCTCTGTACTTTCTCCCACCGCGTTACATTACGGCGCCACTACACTAGTCAGCCCTCCGCTGAAAAAAAAAGAACGTCAACGAAAACCAACGAAAAAGCGCGCTGCACGGCGGCGGCGGCGGGACAGCCTCGCCGGACTCTGACATTGGCCAAAATATTGGGCTCTCGCTTTCCGGCGAGATGACGTCCGCAGCGTGACGTGTTGCGGGGGAAGGGGGAAACGGGGCAACCCCCCACGCCCCCCACCACCAACGCCGTCCTCGCGAAATGATGTGCAAAGCCATAGCGCACCGCTGCCGCTGTTTGCTGAGTGTGGGCGTTCGCCACGGTATCTCGTCTGTGTGTGTGTGTGTGTGTGTGGATTGCGCACCAACACACACACAGAGCGGCGTGTCCGCGCGCCACTGCACACACCGCCATTGACTGCGCTACGGTGGCGCGCGGTGCTGCGCTGGTGCGTCGCGGTGGTCACTGCGTCAGCCCGGCCGGCCCGGCCTGTCGCTAGCGCTGCGCTGGCCGTGCTCGCTGCGCCAGTGGAGTGGAATTGTGGAATGTTTGCCATCGGAATGAGATCCAAGCACCTTCAATCAATCGGCCGGGCCGCCCGGCCCTCCGCCCCAGTGCCAGGCCGGGCAGGCAGGCCGTGGTTTCAATGGCGGCCGAATTTATCGGCGAGGGCCCTTGCAAGAGAGGCGGCGGCTCGAGGGCCTCGTTGGTGTGGCCGGCAGACAAACGGGGACGCCACGCGGTGGCCGCGCAGCCCCGCGGCCGTGCATCGCAGCACGGATTTGCCCGTGGTTGGCCGCCCCGCCCCGCCCCGCCCCGCCCCGCCCCGCCCCGCCCCGCCCTCGTTGTGTTCGAGTAGTGTGGTATCATGTCCGCATGATTGTTTGGCCAGAGAGGGGAAGAGAGAGACAGCGAGGCTCGCCCGACCCTTGTCCGCCCGGGAGGTAGGCAGCCAGTCCGACCGCCGCGCCGAGCGTGCGGCCGAGGCCGCGGACGGCGGGCGCCTGCCGCCGGGCGGCGCTCTGCGGCGCTCTGCGGCGGCCAGCACCGAGTCGCCGTCCCTCTCGCTCGACTCGACTGGCGTTTACGTCGACCAAGTTCGGACTTTCCCACTTGCCGGCGGCGAAGTACCTGAACAACATGACGGATACTTTTTCTGAGAAACAGTCGAACCGGAAACGAAATAAACGATGCGGGTAAACAACTGGGCTGTGGTTTCGGCCCGGTCGGGCTCGGCCTCCGTGGTCGGTCAGGTTCTAGGAACAATTGTTCCCTTTGACGCAAGCGTGCCTGTGCTCGCCGTGCCATCCACGGGGGAGAGAGGCTGGCACTGATGTGGCGACGGCAGGGGGGACTGCACCGGTGGGCTGCACTCACGCCGACAAAAGCGACTCGCAGAAAACGGACGGAAAGGACAGCAACGCACCAACGCCCGCTCCTTTGGCCGATTTGCCTCCCTGCCTCCACCCCACCCCCACCCTTTTTTCTCTAATTACCGAACAGTGAGCGTCAGTCTGGTCCGTGCCGTCCCTGGCGTCCCTGGCCAGGCCGCCCCGCCCGAGCGCCCACACTGGTGTGTGCGTGTGCGAGCGCGTAGGTGTGGGCCTTAGTGAAGGACCCTGCTTGCGGAGCTAATGCCCCCTGCTGTGCGCCGCTGTGCTGGGGCAGCGTGACCCAGGCACGGCGTGGCGCGCCGAGGGACGCGCGGACTGTCCAGTGGAAAAGGCGTGAGCATGAATCGGAGAAGAAGTTGTGGCGTTAGTTCCGGTCCGAGCGGTGCGCGGTGGAACCGGTGGAGCCCGGTGCAGCCGGAGAAGTGTTAGCCCAGTGTGCCACGCAAACCCTCCCCCCTTTCCAGTACCAGCAGCTTGCGTGCGCAAAGTTTGGCTAAATCCCCGGCCGTGTTTTAATTCTGCCCGGCCGTCCGCTCGCCCACCGGCTCCGGCCCGCTCTCTGCAACATCCCAGCCCACCGGGCTGTAGCCAACTGGCAGGCTGAGCCCCGTGGTCGAGTGGGTACAGCGGCCGGCCCACGACGTGGAGGTCGCGGGTTCGAATCTCGCACCCCATTTTTGAAGCGTGGCGCCTTAATGACTCAATCTCTCCGAGATAGCGGGGAATGCGCGGGAAAGCTATTACGGCGTATCGGCCGGGCCGTGCCGAGCCGCGCCCAGCCGCACACGCGCTGCGCACTCAAAGAAGTTATCAGGAAGGCTCATGTCGGCATGTAGACAAACTCGAGGCCATTTCCGGGCCCAGGTTCCCCTTGGATTAACATAGGCACCACGTCCCGACGGCCGGGCGGGGCGGGGCGTGGCGGGGTGCGGCGGGGTGGGGCGGGGCGGGGCACCCCGTTAATGGAACACCCCAAACAGCGCGGGGTTACTTATCGTGCGGAAATTAACTGCGATAAAATAAAAGCTCGTGAATGGAATTAATGACTCCACCTCTAAGTAGAGTAGCTGCTCGCTACGAATACCGCGCGATTCTCCCGGGACATTTTGGCCCCACTGCTGCGCCTTCGTCCGCGCGGCCTCCCCGCCCCGCCCGGACCGTTCTGTAGGTTTCGCCGTTTCTGAGGAACGATTCTCGTCCACGTCCGCCTTTTTGCGCGCGGAATGACGAAGGAAAGGTGGAAGAATGTGCAATTTCACGAAACTTGTGGGGCCGCCTTCACTTTTCTCGCGAGTCCAAAGTAATGACCAGCGTGGCCGGTGCTGCTGGGCGCAGGGAGGTCAGTGGCCGCCGTGGCCGCCGGGGCACTCAATGGGGCTCTTGGAGGCGGACGGGGCGCCCGGACGGGACGCCCGGCCCGGCCCAGCCCTGTCGGCGGACGCGTGGCGGACGCGTGGACGACACGGGCGCACTGGCCGGGAAGTAATGAACCCTGCGTTTTCCGATGTTGTGCGCTCCCCCTTCCTCCCCCGGGACCAACCGCCCGGCCGCACCCCGCTTTCCCGCTTTCCACGGCCTACAGTGCTGCAGACGGCTACACCGACTCCACTAGTCTCATCATGCAGACGCAGGCAACGCAGGATGCAGCGGGGCGTGCCGACGCGCACAGTGGCGCAGACGGCGCAGGCGTCCGCCAAGGCGAGGTGCCTCTCGCCTTGCGCCCTGCCGGCCCTGCCACATGACCGCCCCCATCCAACAGGCGCGTGGCCCTGCCCGGCCCCCACCACCCCTCCGGGCTCGCCCACCCCCACCCCTCCCCCTCCAGCGCGCCGGGCGGGCCGCAGCGAATCCCAGCTTGTCTGCGGCCAATTGTCGTGGCGTTCGGACCGCGTCGTGCCGCTCCGTGACGCGACGCAACGCGAACCGCTCCCCGTGACGAGCCGCATCGCGTCGCCGTGTCGAGCCGCGCCGTGCCGTGCCGTGTCGAGCCGCGCCGTGCCGCGCCGTGCCAGCGAGTCCCGCGGGAGCAGTGCGATTCGGATTGTTGCTTGGCCGCCCGGCCG